CTTCATTGGAGAAACTTCGCTTCATTGGAGAAACTTCGCTTCATTGGAGAAACTTCGCTTCATTGGAGAAACTTCGCTTCGTTGGAGGCTCTTTCCAAATGGGTCTTCGGAAGTGACTAAAAAGGCACCGCGGCCGGCAAGCCTGCTCCACTTGGTGACAGCGCCACGGCGCGGTTAATGGGCGTGGTGGTGGTGGCCGTGGTGATCGTCGCCGTAATGGTTGTGACCGTAACCATCATCGTTACTGTGCGCGTGAGTGTGCGGGGCCAGGTGCCGCGTCACCATAATGAGAAGAAAGGCAATTACGCACGAGGAGCAAAAGCTGAGCCATTTAGCCAATCGTATCTTGCGACTGAACTTTTGCTTTATTTCGTTTAGCAAAATCTGCAAAGGGGGAGGGCGGAGGAAACAGGCATGTGGGGCCAGCGACTTTGACGAAGTGGCACAGAGTCACTTCGGTGCACCTTCCAGACGTTCCACATGTAGGCGAAGGGATTATCTATATAACTACCCATATGTCTTATATATAGGGATATTTTTTTTTTTCTTTTTTTTTTCTTTCTTTTTCTTTTTTTTTTTTTTCCTTCGGCTGCCCCACCTCGCATCCGATGAAGAGCAGTGTCCCGATAGAAACAGCATTAATCAGGCACGTCACCTTCTCGCCTGTGGGGGGGAGGAAAAACAAAGGGGGCGTGTTGGCACATGGGCATATATGCACACGGATATAATAGAAGTATATCTGTCTGCATTCCCATGGGAAGAGGTAGGTAATGGCCCCAGGGAAATTACCTGATGATTTTATTTGGTGTCCAATGATGATCCCCAGAGGGGAGGAGAAAATGAAAATGATCAGCAGGATGATCTTCAGGTTTTTGCTCTGCGTGGTGATGAAGCGAGAGTAGCGATAACGCGGCGTGGTGATGAAGCGGAGTGATAATAAAGGGGCGTAGAAAGGCACACCCGCACAAACCAGGAACATCCACACACGCCTGCCGCGGAACTTACTATGTTGTTCTGATTCAGAGAGAGGGCGACCGTCACCCCTGCGATCCACTTGTGCGACAAAATGCAAAAGGAGTTTATAAAGACGAAGTTTACGTCGTCTGATGTTCCAACGATCACTCCTGGGAGGGGGGAAAGGAAACAAGGGAGGCGTTAAAAATGGATAAATGCAACATACAAAAAACTCATCGGAGAGGCTAAGTGGTCCACTAAATGTTCCTTCCCTCGCACAGTAATGGGTAGTTTAGCCATGCTTGTCGGAGCAAGGATGGATACCACACTCCAGGGGAAAGATGGGGAGGGGGGAAAGGCGAGAGAAGCTCACATAATGCACTGTCGTTTCGCTCCTTCAACGAATTCGTTCTCTCAATCACTCCCCCTGCTCCAAGGGTCCCCTCTGCGCCTACCCTCAATGCACGAGTGCACCGCCAGAGATATGGTCAGAAAAAACGACTGCAGAGTCAGCACGTGCAGAAACTTCACGATGTTCTGTTGCTTGTTGAAGTACTCGCTGTCGCATGCGTGGTGGTACTGATGTTCGTTCACGGTCTGGAGGGAGAGCATGGGAGGAGGTGCGGATGGAAGGAGGTGCGGATGGAAGGAGGTGCGGATGGAAGGAGGTGCGGATGGAAGGAGGTGCGGATGGAAGGAGGTGCGGATGG